CGATGCCAGTCCAGCTATGTTCATATATGTGTGTGTGTTTCTCTGGCGAAATTCAGTGTGGTTCCGACAACAGTTTTATGTTAATGTATAATCCTTAATATGTTTTATGTGTGTATGTGTGTGTGGGAGGGGGGCGCCAGAGGGAGTGTTCGCCCGGGGGGCCAACTGGCTACGGTGATTCTACTGTAGAAAAATGAGCCGGAAGAAACGAAGGCTGCAGCTTTACTGCTCATCCGTTTGTTACCTGATGATGTTCCGCGATAGCTGGCTTCGCCGCAGCTCGGAAATGACGGCTCTTTGTATTACGGGCTGGGGTCGGCATTCGTTCAGCTTTTATATCACTTTGGGTTCTTGGCTAGCTTAGTGTCAACATGCTGTCTGTGCAGGTGCTTGCAAATGGGCGAAATTGTTTTAGCAGCATAATAAAGCTGTTTCTGTACTGAATGCAGTTTACACTTTACCGTTACCCTCTTGTCCTTTTGTGCAATAAAACAGTTTCCGTCTCGTCCTATGCCATTTGTATGGAAAGAGAGCACCGCTGCTCCCTCAGCTGCAAGCTGAAGCAGTTCGAATTGACTTACTGGCGAGTTTACTGCTTGAGAACTGGTCAATGATCCTAATTCTAAATGGAGCTGTTGCTGTGTACTTTTCACAAAGGAGGTGAAAGGGACCTCCATGTGTGATGTATGTAGCCAGGAATTTCAAGTTGCTGACCTCCACCAAAAAATAAATAACGGCAGCGACAGCTCAAAGTGAAACTAAACCAGTAAAGGCCAATACAGAATGAACGCGTTGCCTAAAAACGTCACGAAATTCCGAATTTTACGGAACTTGAGATGAAGCGAGAACGAGCCGGTCCTAATCCTTCTAAACGAGATTAGAAAGAAACACAGATTTGGGGTTCATGTAGTTCTCACGAGAAGGCAGCAGCAGGGAGAATTTCCACATATGAGTTGGTAGAGAAAACATTTTAGGGAGCCAAGTGAGACGGTGTAGTGTTGAGCTGTGTGTTTGAGGTAAAACAGTATTTGTTTTATTATTTCCATGTCATTCCACATTCAGTGCGGGAAGTGAGCTATGCGCGTACTTGTTGCCAAATTCAGCGATCCTATCGGTCAAATCCGTTCATTCGGATCCGAAAGTAGGAAAAATCGAGCTTGGTTCAGAAAAATTATTCCCACAAATTCGTCCGGCTTAATGACGCGTCAGGGAAAAATTAAGGGAATTTTATAGAAGAAATACTTGTAATATGATCCTACCTGAAGATGCAACACGACAGCAGAGTAGTAATATGAATACCTTCTTCATGTTTTTTTCCATTTCCATGTTTACTAACACAAGAAAAACAGCTGAGAGTGTTAATGTGATTTGTCAGAGTTCAATTTCCTTATGGCCTGTGACAACGTCATAAATAAGTAAGCATTAACCCTTTCAAGCCCAGCATAGAACAAGTCCGCCAGAGCTTATCTTTACATTTTTACATGCTATTACAATTTTTGGGAAAATTTCACATATCCCAGTCCACATATCCAAAATTTTTAGTCCGTGGTAACTGCATAAATTTGGGGGGGGGGTTGTTTTTTGTTTTTTTTTACATGTTTTTCTAGTTACAAAAATTTCAGAGGTCTATCCCTCAAAACTGTAAATCCAAAAAGTAGCACAAAATAGTTTCCAGCCACAGGAAATTTATTTTGAGTATCTTCAGTTTAATTTTTGAGATACACTAATTTTTATTAAAACTGCAGCAAAAATGAAAATCGATATTATTGTGCACAATTTGCACACAAAAAAAGGGAAACGAGATTATTAACTAGATAATTAACTGCATTAACAGACATTAACTAGATAAACTGACAGCTGTACTAAGACTCTGTGGTCACCAATTGGCTGTAATTACACGTTACAGAAGATCAAGTCTAAATGTCTGAAATTACATCAAACCTATTACGGGAAAGAAGGGAGCAAGAGGAAATAAAGAGAAAAACAAAGACTTATAGCTCCACCCCTTAACATCCAACCGCCTCTACCTGCTTAGCTACTTTTTTCCCCCATCTGTTTAAATGTGTATGCGTGTGTGTATGGATGTGTGTCATACATGCATGGGTATATATGTGTATATGGATGTGTGTTCATTTGTGTATGTGCAAAAGAAAGAAAGAAAAAAATCTAAAAATATATTTGGATGTGAGCATGTGAACGTGTGTGGTGAAGCGGTGGGTTTGGAGATCCCCCAAAGATTTCTTACTTTTTTTGACAATATTTGCTGTTTGTGTGACACACTACTAAAAATATAAAAAGCATACAGTACTGTACTTGTTTGAGACGTAACATTTTAACAACAAAAGTATAGATAACTCCCCCTCCCAAAATGGTTTGTTCCAACTCTCCCCTGCTCTGACTCTAGCGCTGTTGCTGCCAGAGCGCTGGTGGCTGAGACGCAACGGAGAGGAGGTGTGAGTGCCTGGCTTAAAACAGGACATGTTAGCTGCATTTAACCTTCAGTTACTCTTTATATAGTTGGTAGGA